TCTGCCCTTTTGTTCCAGTATCTCCCGGCCAGCGCCGCCCTTATCGGCCCGCCGCAGCTCGGTTCTGTTCCAAATGGAGCGGAGAGCCCGCGACGCCTGCGGCGGCCACGCCCACCTTCGTCATTCCAACTGCGTGCGTGTGAAAGGAGCCCTTCTTTCCAGAGGACCATTTGGGGGAAAAAAAGCAGCTGAGTGGGAACGCTTGATTGTCAGCTGCCAGGCAGGGATCCGCCCGCTAACCAAGTCGGAGGCGGCTCGCTGCTCGGTGGGATGAAAGACGATGGAAAAATGAAAGCGGAGAAATTTGGAGAAGGTTGGCGGTGTCGCCTTTAGGAGGCGAGAAAATTGGTCATCCGGGAACGCCCCGGAAGAGCTGGACCGAGTGGCTGGGGAGAGGAAAGTCTGGGCTTCCCTGCTCAAGCTGATGCCCCCCCGCCCGCCGGCCAAATTTATGCAAACCAAGTACTTTGATCGATGTAAATCTCCTTTGGGGAATCGGTGACGGCGATCGGGCTCATGTTGGCCGTTTTAGGCTCCTATCACGCATACAAACAAACACCCGAGATTCAAATCTGTCCAGGCTAGCGCTTTGACGAGCCGCGAGTCCAGCTGCTGGATTCGGTTGCTGCGCCTCGATTTTCACACACACCCATTGACAGGGTGAGCGTGTGTCTCTGGAGCGGGGCGGGGGCTGACCCCACGGTTTCTTTCCATGGAGTAAGCCAAAGAAAAGGCCGGGCCACAATAGCGGAGAAAGCACCTCGGGGATTAGCCGACATAAACAAACAGCGCGCGGCCACGCGAGAGCCGCTACCCGAATTCGATTCCGATCCCACCGCACGCGGAAGGCGACACCGGCGGGCCGACGGGTGGCCATGAAAGGGATCGGGTGCCTTCCCGCGGCCTCGATTAGCGTCGAATGGCGCTGATTAGCCGAGGCTAACGCTACAATTACGGCGGCGCGCTCACAAGCTGCGCTCCGCCACAATACAGGCCGATCGTTATCTGGAGGGCGACGCGCCAACGCGCCGTTCAATAATGGATGACGATTATTTTCACGTTGCCTGACTTGGTATGCGGTTGCGTTTGACTTTTTTACTTTTGCGTTAATTCGGAGGCAACTGGCTCCTTATTTCGAGAGCTCAATCCTGTATTTCGCAGTGCCGTTTCTTGTGGCGGGTTCAAGTGTTGAAAATGGAAATGCTCGCCTGGTGCGCTTTTTCCGAGCACAAGGGGCTTCATCTCCCCCTCATCTGGCGATTGTTTACCGATGCAATCGTGCCATGGCTTCAATCACAAGCAACCCACCCCCGGCAACATCCCCCGCCAGCTTCCCTTCAGGCCCATCATCATGATGGGACGCGCTGCACTTTTTATCACTCTCATCAGCCGCCGCGTCCAAAATAGAACACCCCCCCCCCCCACCATCACATCACCAACATTAGGGCCGATAAACTCGCCCCGCGCTGTCATGTTAGCATGAAGCTAACAGCTCAATGGGATTTTGGGGGTTGAAAAATGTCCGTTTTGCAGGGAACTGGAACTGGGAGTGACAAATAAAACTTGCTTGCTGATAATAAACAAAGTTTCCATCGGAAAAAAAACGTTTTCGCAAGTCAATGCTCGGAGCTTATGAGACCCAAACCAGTTTGGACCTGTTGTTGTGGCAGCCAAAGCCTAGCAAGCGCCGCAAAAAGACGCACACGCCGGCATACTTTTCAGGCCTGACATTCTTCCAAACGTCACCTCGCGCTGCGGCTGGCTTCTCGCGAACTGCATTCCAACCTTTTTCGCCCTGCTGCTTCCTGTTCGAGGCCGCCGCTCAGCCGAACGCTTGTTTGCGCCTCACATGAGTGCGCACTCACAAAAGGATTCACACACACACACACACACACACACACACACACACACAAGGAAGAGTCGCCTCTCTATGACATAATTCAGTGATGTCATCCTATTGATAGACTGCTGATGACCTTTGACTTTCTGGTTATTTATAAATGGGAAAAAAAGGTTTTAAAAGTGATTTTGAAAATTAATTATTTTTTTCTTTTTAATGAATCAATCAACGAAACGCCTAATTAGATAATAAATAAATCATAAATCCCTGAAAAATGTGTATTTTAAGAATAAAATAATGATTGGATTCAATCAATCGGTTAACATGGATGACAGATAAATAGATTAAGTTGAACCAATTCCAGGGAGAAAAAAAAAACAGAGTATGCAAGGAAAAAAAAAAAAAAAAAACTCTGAGAAGTGCAAAATCGGCCCCCGAGGCAAAAAGTGGTTCGAAACGGCACCGCAGCGAAATGAGATCAAGTCGAATCTTGCCTGGTGCGTTGCGCCACTTGAGGAATGCGCGCGTGGTGCGAAGTTTGTCCCAATACACTTTGGAAATACTCACACGCAACAATCGGGACGCGTGCTAGCACCGCTGCATGCTGGGTAATGAGACACCCGCTCAGTAAGCCGCAGTGATATAGAAAAATGAAACGTATACATAAAAGGTGCTGGGCCGCCAGGCGCATGCCAAAAAGCCGCCCCGCTGCACTCTGGTTCACCTTTCGCCGTGTTACGGGCATGACTCACCTTGCACGTATTCCGCACACGCGTGCGCTCTGATGGGAGTGCGCAGGTGTGTGCGAGTGCGGTTTACAAATGGGAATGAAAGCTGCAATGGAGGCAGCGCCCGTGTAGAAGTGCTTCCAATTTGGAAGCAATCAAACCAAATCTCCAGGACGTCAAAGTATTTCAAGGATTTGAAACGGAAACCAAAACGCTTCCTGTGCATTTCGAGCACGGCTTTTTGGTGGATCGATTCATGACAGTTAGGCCGAGCCTTCACGTTGCAAAGTAAAAGTCGCCGCAGGGTGAAGTTTACTGCTGAGCACAACGATCACTGGAACCGACCGAAGAAATGCTCCTTCAAACCGAAATGCTGGTTTTCCTCTGTCATTGGGGGCGTGGCTTCCGCAGAATTTTGGGGCGGCCTGCTCATGATAGACATGCTGAACAAAATTCACGGTATTGTGTCAAACTCGATTCGGGCCTGAATTCTCCAAAACTATTTAAGGGGAACGGGGGGGAGACTCGGAAATGACCACTAAATGGGCTATTTCAAAGCAAAATGGCCGACTTCCTGTCAGTTTGAGGACAGGGCTCCTGAACACCTTTTTCTGGCTCAATTCATGCCGACCAAGTTCCATGTTGTCAAGTCAACCCCCCCAAATCCCTCGCAGGTGATGCTCAGGGCCCGAATGAAGCGCGTTAATGTTCCGAGGAGAAAGAACAAAGAAATTCAGCTTATACTGGAACACACACACATTCCTTCCCCCCCCCCTTTCGCCCTGCGCTCATTCAAATGACTGCATTGGCCCTCAGATGTAATCTTGGTGGAAAATGTTGCCTGTGAAGCCATGCGTCCACACTCGCACATGCACGCACACATGCACACGCACTTGTGGCAAAATCCACAGCCCTTTACACCTGCCACTGCCAGGCGCAAAGGAAGTAGGGGGGGGTGGGGGGGGGCACGGTGATCAGGTTCAAACTTGTTTGAGTGGCCCCAACCGGCCGCCCGCCAGCGCCGTCACCTTCCATAGCCGACGCCGCGGCTCTATCGCCGTCAATGGAGCTTTAAATGAAAGCTATTATCCAGTTGCACTACCTCCCACAAATGGAGGTCCCGCGAGGGGCAAGGGCCGGGTGTCCATTACGGGTCTTCAGCCCGGAGTTCAAGCAGGAGGGGAGCATCCATTACGGCTCAGGGGGGATGTCATGTCCAGATGGCCAGGTGCTCCGGAGGAACCCGCCGCCCCCGCAACAATCGACGGCCTTCATGGCCCGCCCCGCCCGGACCCCCGACCCCCGCGGGGCTCCGGACCCGCCGGTCACGGCGGAGCGCTCAAGCGAAGACGAGGCCACTCGCTTCGCGCAAACTTCTCGGCACGCCAAGAATTCATCGATGGCAGCAGGAAACCCTGCCAAAGCCCTCCAGGAAGCGGCGTCAAGGGAGCACGGCGGACCCCCCCAAGCTCGATCGCAGTTCGTCTTTCACACCCGCAATTGTTTCTTTTGAGAGACACCAAAGTCATGTCAATCAGGCTGCGTCGTACGGAGCGTCAGAAGGACACCAATGCACATTTCAAGCTCAACTTTTTTTTTTTGATCCTCCCCAAGATGGAGCGCTTGACAGCCAAATGAACACGAGCAACAAGTTGCAGTCAACAACTAAAGTGCATCTGCGGCAACAACAGCCAGCAGCGTTGCTCGGAGCCAAAAGAATCGACGCGGAGCACCGCTGAGAACGCATCGAGAGGAAGTGGAGAAGGAAAAACGCACAACTAAATCAGATCTGCAGCAATAGTCAGCAACACTGCATGGAGGAGGGAACAAAATGTCCATCAATAAATAGTCAAGGCCCAAATGGAACAATGCACATTGTCAACGCACGCGACTGACGGGGGCACTCGGCGTCAAGTGTCCAGTCAGGGGCACGGACACAGCTGACTCGTACGCTCACCTGAGCTAAGCGGCAATTCCAAAACACTCACACACGCACAAGAGCAACGCGGCGCAAATCCAATTTGATGATGTCACTTTGCTTTGCACTGACAAAATGTCTTCGACTGGCTATTAACGAGAGGCTCATAAAATCTTTAGTTTGGGATAAAAGGCAGGAAAAGTCGACCTCGTTCGCATCTCTGGGTGACGTTTGGCCAGAAAACAACAACAACAACAACAACAACAACACGACCGAATTGAACATGTTTTTTTTTTTTTCCACCGCACCTTTGGCAAGGGCAACAACAGCAAGCTGACAAGATTGCACGGAAAGCACGAAGCGGGCCACTCGCGGCCTCCTCAGACGAGCAGCGCTCAATCATCAGCGTCAACAAAGAACATTTCAAATGCACTCTTTCAACATTGCACACCAACTGTCAACTTTTGCAGACAAAAAGCCAGCTGGAAGGTTTAAAAGGCAAATGAACACTCACCACTTTCGCTGCTGGGAAGGGGCCAAATTCTTCGGTGCTTTGTTGTTGTTGTTGTTGTTGTTTTTGTATGCTCGTGCTTGCTGCTGCCCCCCAACGTGAGCTTGACGGTACTGCACGGGTGCCATTCAAACATGAGTCTCGTTCAGGCCTCACCAGCCTTTTTTTTTTTTTGAAGTGAAACTGAAGCATGGCTATTTTGTTGCTTCCAAGTGCTTGCTGCTGCCCCCTAACGTGAGCTTGGCGGTACTGCACGGGTACCATTCAAACATGAGTCTTGTTCAGGCCTCACCAGCTTTTTTTTTTTTTTGAAGTGAAACTGAAGCATGGCTATTTTGTTGCTTCCCCCCCCAACGGAAAATGGAAATTGGAAAATGGATGGCGACATAAAATGGCCTTTTGGCAGATCCAAACTTTTGACATCACTCCCCCACCTCCCTCCATCTGGCGTGGCCAAACCAACAGTTGAGCCGACTCCGTGCTGCCAAACAACTTTTTGGATTTGCCCACATGTCAACTTTGCCGCGTAAGCCGAGGAACGCGTTCACGTAACTTTGGCCAAAAGGAGCACCAAGGAGGAAGCCGCTTTGCGCTGACATGGCCGAGCAGCAGAGAGTGACTGAGCTAGTAAGCCACGATGCAAACACAATGGCGGCTCTAACCGCCCCCCCTC